TTAAGCGTGCCTACAACAAATGCTCACGAACAACTGCTTGGCAGATTTTACTGCCGCCTCCCAAGGCCGCCGAAGTGAGGAGTTCGAGGTGAAATGAACTGGAAATCGATGCCCTTGATTGAAGAATATTCTAAAATCTGCTTCCTTTTACATTCGCTTAAAAACTGCTCGTAGAAATCTTTTAATTTGTTATTGGGTCCTATAAAATTGGTAGCATAGACGCAATAAATAGTCTTTGGTATACCTCGCCGGCTGACAAACCTCTTAACGCAGCCAATGAAGCCTTCACTGCTAATGTCAGAAACTAACTCCATGTGCACTGCTTTGTTTTAAACGGTACCTTGCTTCTGATACGATAGGAGGTGGCGAATGGGTCACATACATCAACTCAGCAGATTAAAAACGGTAGTTGTGCTTTCAAGCGGTCGGCAGGCAGGTTTGCAATAATTTGTTGCGACAACTTAGGCCGGTATTTAAAACAATGGATGCATCTTCGCACTACTTTGCGTACAACTTCACGAGCATTCACGATCCAAATGCGTTGTCGTAGTAACCCCAATAAGACCTTTGGGCCTGCGTGAAGGTGTGAATAGTGCAGATGTTGGATGTACAGCAATGTAAAGATCCTTAGGTAATATGCGGGGAAATTTCGCTTCCACCGGAATCAGAGCACGCAATAGTCGGCCCCCCGCTCTGACTACCACCTTGAGTTTGTTGTAGATTTGCAGCTCACCTAAGAACGGCGACAGTTTTTGCAGCGATGGATTTAGGGATTTGTCTTGTTTAAGAGCAACAATTTCCGAGGGGAAACATTCATGTTGTATGGCTGCAACTACAAAATTAAAGGCGTGGTTGAGTTCGGCTCAGGAACTTGGTTTAACGTCATTCACCGACAAATGCCTATTGGTTGGAATGTTGAATACACGATGAATATATGAAGGACTCGTGTAAGCGAAGAATTTCGGTTCACAATATCCAAAACAATTTTGGATTGAATGCAACGAAGTGCTGGAATCCGTTTCCGTTGTTCTGCGATAGGCAATTCCACGTTGATGCTAAGCTGAGGCCACGTACTGATATCATCTGCTAAAAACTGTGGTCCACTGAACAAAAATGTGCTTGGTAGCTCGGAAGCACTGCAACCGCGAGATATGATGTCCGCTGGATTGCATTTCGATGGTACATGACGCCAGATGACTAGGTCAGAAACTGACTGGAATTTCAGATACCCTATTCGCTACAAAAGAGTTTATGGTTGTGGAATGCATATTTATCCAGCGTAAAACAGTCGTAGAATCGGTCCAAAAATACGTATTGCTAATATAAGGTTCCAACTTGACCGTAATTTTTCCAGGTTTGAACTAAAAGCAATGCCGCTCACAGTTCCAGTCTTGGCAATCATAGCCCTTTCACTGGTGCAACCTTTGACTTTGCGACAAATAAACGCGACTTAAGTGCTTCACTACAAATGTTGCGGATATAAATGCAGCATCCATAAGCACGCTCGGATGCATCCGCAAACCCATGTACCTCTGCTTTGTGTGCTAATGAAGTCAGTACATACCTCCGAGTAGTGATTGAATTGATATTCGCCAAGTCTTTTCGAATGTCTGTCCAGGTGCCTTGTAGTGGTTTTAGAAGTTCATCAACCCATGCTAATCCGTGTATCCATACAGACTGCAGTAGCATTTTGCATCGTATGACAACGCGGCTTAACAATCCAAGTAAGTCGAATATTTTCGCGGTTGTAGATATAACTGATCGCTTGGTTATAAGTTCTGAAGGCTTATCCTCATATTGGAAGCAAAACGTGTCAGTAATTGGTTTCTAAAGCATGCCTAGTGCACTTGATACATCACTTCCCAGTTGAATGTTCACATCATTGGAGCACTCAAAGATATCGGTGCAATTGCTGTTCCACTTTGAAAGTTTAAGTTTGGCCTTTTTGAAATATCTGAGTGAGTTCAAGTTTTCGCTTACGAAGGTCGTCTAAACTCACTCACGGCGCAGATGTGAGCACATCATCTACGTAGAAATCCTATTCCAAAATTTCAGCTCCAATCGGGAAACTGTCGTGATAATGCTCTGCAATAGAAACCAAGCTTCGAATTGCCAAGAAAGGCGCAGATGTGGTACCGTAGGTGAACGTATTTAATTCATAATACTCTAATGGTTCCCTTGGATCGGATCTCCAGACGATGAGTTGAAATTTTCTGTCTTCAGGTTCTATCCAAAACTGACGATACATTTTACAGATATCAGCTGTTAACGCGTACTTATGTAACCGAAAAGGAAGCAATGTAGTTATGAGATCTTGCTGAATCGTCGGACAGACCATAAGAATTTCGTTTAGAGCGTAATTAGATGATGTTTTGTGAGATGCGTCAAAAACGACACGTAACTTCGTACTTTACTGCTTCGTCGCAAAACCACTTGGTGTGGTATAAAATAGTGGCTTTTCTCCATTATTCCATCGTAAATAGGAGACATACATATGTCCAAGTTAATAATAGTAATTTCTTTAGCATGGGATCTTTTTCAAAGCGACGTTGCAATGCTAAAAAGCGTCTACATGCGTTCTGAAACGAATCGCCAAGTAAAAGTTCAGATTGAGCTATTGGTAGACACACCTGAACACGTCCGAGTTACATTTTGCGAGGCAGCAACGGCTTGGAGGCATTGAGTGGCCAGCAGCAGCTTTTCCACCCACAATCCATCTGAGCGATATATTAACCAGAAAGCATCCCGAGAGCGATTTTGCCGTCCCTTAAAAGGTCGAAGAAGATATCTAACTTCAAGTTTTTGGTATCCACGTACTGACTGGGTTGTCTAGACGATATGGTCTTGGACACAGTGAACTTTGTAGTCCACTCGAGCTGAGAAACGTGCGATTTGATGGTTTCTTGTACCTGGAAATTAAAGTTAGTGTTTTCGCCAGCTATGCCGGTAACTTTCTGCTTGATTCGCAATTGTTTGAGTTTTAAACGTTTCGCAGTTGCATCCGTAATAAAATTTAGTTCCGAGCCGGAATCTAGAAGCGCTCGAACTGGCTGCTAGGTACCACAAATATCTTTTATATAAACTATAGGAATAATTATGCAACGAGTTGTGAACGCTAACAACGACGTGTGGCTCTGGCTATTCCGACTGGGAGTTGACCCTGCTCGCTGCATTGACGATGAGACGGAGATCGAAATGGCGCTTCCCCTAGAGAGGGCTGCCGGTGTAGCATAGTGTGATGTTGTGCACCGCATACGCGAAAACGTGATTGTGATGAGTAATTAGCCATACCGAGGCCCTTTGATAAAAAATTTATGCATAATGATGCTTGTTTTACGAAGTCAAACCGCTGTGTCACAGACACGGTAGAAAATTTGTTACACCGATGGACGGCATGCTCAGTTGCTTGACAACACGCTCATTTTGACTTTACATTAACAAACGTTTTGGATGGTTTGGAACTGTTGTTGTTTCGTGTTTGATGGTTAGTTTCGACAATATTCGATTGTTTAGTCCAGGTTTCGAGTAACTGGCAGCGATGACTTAGAAGAGTGTAGGAATTCTCAAATGATGGGAGCTCAGCGTCTAGCTTAGTGAGAATTATGTTAATTAATAGTGCGTCCATGATATTTTTCTCAGAGCCTAATGAGAGTAAGGCTCCCTTGATTGAAGTGACATTATCGTTTAGCCCGGGCAATGTGACGTGATCACTTTTATTCATATTTGGCAAGTGATTTTATATGCGCAATGAATATAAGCGTTTTGTTATCGAAGCGTTTCTTTAATAGCTGAAGTGCACGTTGATAATTACTTTCCGTAGATTCAATTGGCTTGACCACAGCTCGCGCAGGTGCCGACAAACAGTCCATCAAGTAATTGAATTTATCAATTGTGGTCAACGAAGCGTCGTCATGCACAGCCAATTCGAAGGTGTGCATATAACGTGAATATTCTGTGTACTTGCCGTCGAATTTCGGCAAACATAGTTTGGGCAATCGATGTTTTGTGAGCTGCTGAGTGGTTGGAATTTGGAAGTAGCTTACGTCCGGCATGCTTGATCGACGTGCGCTCTGCAGAAACCCCGCTAATTTAGATTAAGTTGAAATGAACACCTCTTCTAAGTCTCCACGACCATTGTCTGTATCGCAAATCTTTTCGATGAGTGTCTGAATGTGGCACACTTGTTTGAAATACGATTCCAAGATTTGTAGTTGACACTCCAATATTGTTAGGTCAGAAAGGGCACTTTCTTTTTCAATTTTTGACCACAAATTAGTCATGTTGCGCTTCATCGTACGCGCCTCATCAGTCGACATGGTGAAACCCAAAAATTTTATTTTAATTTAAATTTTTTTTTTAGTTGATGAAATGTGACAAGATTCAATCACCGAAATTTAGCAGAAGCACGCAAAAAGGTTTACGGGAAAATCACAGCAAGTGGCGTGATCACAGCAACGAGGTGGACCAGTATAGTATGTACCTTTAAACAATTGTACATATGTAACATGTGCCGATGCTATTGTCCATATGTACTATGTATTGGATAAACCGTATATTTTTGCAAAGACAGTCCGGTCACCTTTTGCTTGTTGTGCGATTATTATGTTTAACGCAAAATGAGGGTATGCATGTACAACGATATGTATTGACTTCGCGATGCCAGTATACAAATAACCAAAACTTTGTTTTTGGGTCCTGTAACGGTCGCCTAAATGTTTAGTAGAAGTAAAAATGTTCTTAGATTAGAGTTCTGTCTCTTACCAAAGGTGGATCGCGAGTGAGTAAATTTATTTCAATAGCAATAAGTACATTGGTGAGGTGCAAATTACAGATAATGAAAACGAAGCTGCCAGATTACAAAAATATCAAAACAATTGCAAATTATAAACTATATTATCACCCCTATTGCGAGTGTCGACTGGCAGTAGATAAACGACTATTAAGCGATTATCGATGCTAGAGCTGCAAAACTATCGATATATCGAATGGTGGTTATTTTTTGCTACTATCGATGTTTTATTTTCACTACCGATGGTATCGAACAGAATTTTATCTCTGTCCCATCACTACTTCTGACAAAGGACGCGCTAATCGGTGGAAAATTTGGGTAAGCGAAATGAAAAATCCGATATTAAGTGGCAGTTTATTTATAATTTAATTGTTTTTAGACACATTGCAATTAGTGTTGGCGGTTCTATGGATAATTACCTGAGAATTTCCAATAACAAAGGTAAATAAATTATAGCATCCGCTGTATCATGTATGTATGCGGATAGTCCCAGCCCTACCGCCCAATTCTGTGTTTTCTTGATAATTTTTTTTTAAAGAAATTTTATCAAGATTTTTATCAAGTAAAAGCTTCCTTCGCATTCTGTGCCAATATTTATAAAACAAAAAGCTCTACGATTTCCACATTATTGGAATTGATTTCCACATGAGTGGAACTGATTTCATTGTCACATATGAAAAATATGAAGTTAAAAGCAAATAAGCTTTTGACTGCCGTAGCCGAGTAGGTAGAAATGTCGACTATAATTCCGTGTGTCGCAGGTTCAAATGTCGGCACATGGAGTATTTAATGGTTAGAAACAAATTTATTAATATACAAAATTTATACATTTCACATGAAATTTCAATTTGTCAATAGCATTTTCAATCTTGATAATTTATCAAGAAAAGAGCTTTTGATTTCTGTGCTAGAATACCAATTCTTGATAAATAATAAAAAATGGACAAATTATAAAGATTTTCAATTTATCAAGTGCACTGAATCGGGCTGCTAGTATGTATACTTATATGTACGTGTGTACAATGTAAGTGTTTGTGTATGATTTTAGATGCCAGAATGTTCTGGACATCAGCAGTGACCCGGAAGAGGGAAGTCCCTGTACGAACAGTTCAAGAGTTGGAAAATCGAAGGTATGGAGATATTTTGAAAAAGCAAAACGAGGTAAAACTGCCGCTATTGTGACAAAATTTACAAGACGAGTGGCAATACGTCTAACATGTTTGACCATCTAAAGCGATCGCACCCTTCATTAAAAGAATTGTCAAAGCCATCGGGAACAATAACTTCCTAATTGGATAAATCGAAGGTGTATGAAGTATCATCACAACGAAAAAAGACCTTGACAGTGCTTTGGTGAAATTTATTGCGTCAGATGTGCGACTATTTGCAATAGTAGAAGACAAAGGATTTCGCGAATTTGTGAAGGAACTCAATCCTCGTTACGAATTACCATCTCGAACGACCCTTCAAAATGTGTTTATGGCGAACATTTTGAACAAGATAACGGCAATCGTCACCGACCATGCTAAGTCAATGCTGAAAGCGTGCGAACTGTTACAAAAACGGAACCTTCCATGTTTTGCTCACTCGCTAAATTTAGTTGTGCAAGAAAGTTTAATGCTAGACAACATTCAACTCATTCTATTGAAATGCAAACGCATTGTGTCGTATTTCAAAAGCAGCACAATGGCGTACGCCAAGTTTAATATGGAATTTACATGATTCAACTTTCACAGGCGATTAGTTGAACCAAAAGTTGAACGAAAGTAGGGAGCCGACCAACTTCATTGTAAGCGATTAGTTGAAAGGCTGTTTACACCAGGCGATTGTTGCTTTCAACTAAAAATCGCCTGAAAAATCGCCTCATGTAAATTCCCTATAAAGCAGCACAAGAAACAGAGAAGAAATATAGCTTAAAACAGGAAGTGGCGACACGATGGAACAGCGCATACCTGATGATTGGTCGTATTTTATTAACAAATGATGCAATTGTAAAAGTTCTGCTCAATATATCAAAAGCACTACAACCTTTGACAGCAGACGAAGTTGCGTTATTACAACATTTGATGCAGTTACTTTCACCATTTGACAATGCCACTATGCAATCATCCTCTAGTTCCACAGTTACGATCTCCTTAGTCATACCGCTTGTGTGTGGTCTTTTGCATACTTTAGAAAACCTAAAAACGAATCTCAGAACTGCTGAAGGACTTGATGCGTGCATCTTTATGATTGAGCTTCTTTTCTCCTTTTAATGCTAATGAGCCTGGAAAAATTCTAGAAAATGAGCTTGCAGCTGTAAGCAAGGTGCAGAGAACACAACTTTCTCCAGGCATTGGTTCCCCAGAACCGCCAACACTAATTGAAAAGCCTGGGCCGTCGCAGCAAACGTTATTTGGATTCCTTGAAAGAAATATAGCGAACATGGCGGGGACTAATCGGGTCGATGCGATTGTCACCTTACAACAATATTTGGAGAATTCACATTCTCCTCAGGGCAGTGACCCCTTTTGGAAAGTAAAATTTTGTGTTAATATTATGAACCAAGAACTGTTCTCACTCAATATTTTATAATTTTCAGTGCCTTCCGAATGATTCTTTTACAAAAGCGTGCGCTGCTCGATTTCTTTGCATTCCAGCCACATCCACAGAATTTGAAAGGATGTTCAGCAGAGCAGGCATCATAGCAAATAAAAGACGAGCTTCTTTAAAGGCAAAGAATGTGGATGTGCTTGTTTTTCTTAACAAAAATTTTTGGATTTCTCAATTACATTAATACATTTTCTTAAACTAAACTTTTTTATATTACAAAGCTTTAAAAGCAAATCCAATTCGCCTTAAAAAGAGACTCAATATCCCTATGATCTCGCATTAATGTGTGTATATATATTTTTATACTTTAATTTATATGCAACTGTTTGTTCATTTTTTAATATACTTTTCTTTTATAAAAAGAAATGAATTGATACAAATTAATGTAATAAACAAAAATATCGTGTATTTCATATGTATGTTTATTAAAAGATGTAGCTGCCAAAGACTTGTTTAAATAAATAAATGAAAACGATACTATCGATAGTATCGATGGTTTTTTTTTCTAACTATCGAAAATATCGAATGGTCCGACTATCGATAGTTTTGCAGCTCTAATCAATGCTATTGTGGGTGTCGCTTAATCGCTCAATTAGCGACTGTGAATACTTTTTAATCACTCATCCTTCTATTGGTGTTTTTTCGTCGTTGGAGTTTGCGTTTATAAAATTTACCCCCTTATTATGAATCCATACGATACACGATAAACCCTTGCATTCTGTTGTGCCGTATTACGAATCAATGTCTATCGTATGAAATCCGACAGTTATCGTTTATCGTGTATCGTTAAAATTTGGTATTGCCTTACGATATTTATCTTATCAGCTGTTCCATTTCTAACGCTTGCAAGCGGGTCGCCATTTTTAAGTGATAGACAGTCCAAACAGTTAAGAATACTAAATTTATTTGATAAAATTGGAGTCATGTAAGTATTGAAGTGAGTAAAACGAGTTAATAAAAGAATTTAAACAAAATATTTATTAATACTTTTTCAGGCCGAGAGTTGTGATCACGAAACATCAATTGGAGCGTCTGGCTTCGCTTATGGAGGAGAATACGGACCTTGCAAGAGGTGTATGTCCTAAAGCCCTTGCAAAGCCACGATGGGAGAAAGTCGCACAAGATCTAAATTCATTAGGGCCACCAACACGTTCGGTGGCAACGAGTAAGCATATTATAAGATCGTTATTTTGGTACTGAAATAACAAAACATTAACTTGCAGGTTTGGAATGACTTAAAATACAAGACAAAAAAAAAGAGCGCACACAACCATGCAGAGAACATCGCGACTGGAGGTGGACCAAACAACACGGTTTTACTTTCCAACCTGGAAGAGACCGTGAATAGATTGATGAACTACACTCAATATAATAACCCTCCAAGAGAAGAATTTGGAGTAGAAAATGAAGAAGAAAATCAAGATGAAAATGATTCCGGTAGAGTAATCGAAATTTTAGAAGACCATGACATCCAGACGCCCTCGCGAAACCGGATACTCAATGAGAGAACTAGAACTTGCCGCAAAGAACACCGCCAAATTGCACTACTAGAGCAGCAAACAAATCAACAGCCTCATTTTCAAAATAAATCTCTTAATACCTTCAACGATATTAAAAAGAGCCTTTCAAATATTGAGACTTACACAAAAAGATCTTACTATTTAAAAAATGATAAACTAGCTCTTTACAAGCAGGATATCCAGAATAAAAGAATGGCTCGAAAAGCTAAACTAGAACTTAAGAAAAAACTGCTTGAACTGAAACAAGAAATTTATAGGAAGTAATCAAAAGTACAATTAGTTTTAAGTGAAAATGTCAAAGACTGCAGTGAACTGATTTTTATTTTTGCTATTTTTATTTAATGAAACAATGGAAATGATTTGGACCTGAAGCGATGAATATGCTTTTCTTATGTTTAATAAAAATGTAAAAAAATATGAAAAAATTAGTGCAAGCACGACAAGACATTTCTTCTGATTTCTTCTGCAGCTTGTCGCATAGGGACGTTATCATTTGCATTAGCTTCTTCTAAGATTTCAACACTCCCGTCCTGGACGTCTGCAATATTCACTTATTCATGGGGGACATTGTAATGGTTGCAAATATTATGTAGAGCCGCACAAACATTTATTATTAAAGTGGCTTTTGCAGGAGTGTAATGAAGTGAGCGAGCACTTAGCAAACATCGAAACCGGCTTTTTAACACCCCAATTGTCCTCTCAATAATTTTTCTAGCTTTGGAGTGCCGGGTGTTATATAAGCTTTCTATAGATCCTGGTTCAACATTTCTGTAAGGTGTTAGCAAATAAGGCGCTAAAGCATAGCCAGCATCACCTTAATAAATAAAAATAATCCAATTCACAAGTTTGAGTTGTATGGACGAAGTATTTTAAATACCTAATAACCAAGTGTTATCTGAACCACGGTTATACATTGACTCTAATTGTGATTTTAAACCGGACATTTGAAAAACCATAGAGTCATGCGTAGCCCCTGGGTGCTTGGCATTAATGTATTTGATATTAATCAAATCGTCACACATCTAAAAGGGAAGAAAAATCTTTTTTAACTTGCACGTACACATAAAAGTCCACTTACTATCATTGCGTTTATACTGAAATACCCCTTCCGACAGTAGTACAGATGCTGCAAATTTTTGTCTGGTGCAACAATCTTGACGTGTGTGCCGTCAATGCATCCGATTACTCCGGGAATACCACTTGTTTCAAAAAAGTAATTTTTCGCTCTCCTCTTTTCTTCCTCTGTATACTTAGAGTTTATCCACTTGTTGCAAAGAGTTGTTTGTAAGGCACTCAATGTTTCTGTTAACGCAATTGAAACAGTGGGCTGGGCTAACCCAAGTAATGCTTCATTACCTACACTCTGTTGATATGATCCTTGCGCCAGAAATCTCAAAGTTGTGCAAAGCTTTACAATATCTGGTATGGCTGATTTTCTCTTTCGTACACGCAATTTATTTTCTATTTCTGTTAAAATATATATAACAGATTCCTTTGAAAGTCTAAAGTTTCTTTGAAACCTGAAGATGTTTTTTAATAATTGAGCATATGTATAAAATTTATCTGAGTTACTCACATTATTGGATTCATTTCGAGGGGATTTGAAGCATCTTTTAAAAGCCTTCTTTCGACCGTCTCTATGCGAGTTTCTTCAGTTTCTTCATGCGAATTTATATAAAACCCAATTGATGTTGCAGAGAACATTACTTTTTATTTGACTATGAAAATTACTCGCTTGAGAAAATTTAAATTGAAAACAACAGCTGGCATGTCACAGTTTACAATAAAAGTAAACAAAAACCACAGTCATTCACAATAGAGCATCTATCGGGCGTATGAAAACGATAATACGAAAACTTATTTTATACGATACGCTTGCAAGCGTTTATCGTCTATCGTACGGAAATCCATAATAGGGGTGTTACATAAGAAAGTGTTACTATAATGGATAAAAGTTAAGTCAATTAAACTGGAAGTTGTAAAAAATTCTGAAAAATACTTATGTATGTATGTGTCTGAATTACAGATAAAAAATTGTAAGCAACAAAAGGCAACTTGCGCGGTTGGTCGAGCTGATGCAAGAGAATGAGGACATAGGCAAAGGAATTTTCGGAAAGAATAGGGGCCGAAGCCCTATTGTGAAAGATATGCAATATTTATTGTGCATATAACTCCGGCTACGTCATCCACAGTGTTTTTGCCCAGAACCAGCATCAATGTTTACAAGCAACTGCATAATTTATTAATTAACTAGTGCTCGGAAATTTGAAATCTCTATTTTAAATTAAAGTTTAATTCTTTCACTACACTTGTATGTTAAAGTTTTTAATCTCGGGCCACGCGTTTGGACACAAATACCCAACATCATTGTACAAATAGCTAAACCGTACCATATTTCTCAAACTTCCATAAAGTTTATTAATGAGGAAAACAACTTTTTCTGCAAATCCTGTAAAACCGACAAACCGTGAAGCATCTGAAATCAAGAAATATTTATTTTGTTATTTAAGTTAGAAGGTCCTGTATATGAAGTGCCCAATTTTGAGTGTGGCTCACTGTAGGATCTACCGGGCATCCATCGACAAAAGAAGAGATGCAATAATTTGAGAATACTGCTAGGTTGGTAACAGTTGAGCGTCCAGGGATAAAACCATTTTAGTACTAACAGCTTTTTCAAACAATAAAGCAAAGTTAGTGAGTACTACGGAATAAGTGAAGAAGAACGCTTTTGGATTTGATTTAAAATTATATTCAAAACCAAGTAAATAATTTTTTTAAAGAAACTTATCCAAACAATTGAAATCCGACAGGTATTTCTCCTGCACAACTCTGCCAATCGTACGTATTTATAAACAATTTCGAGACTTGTATATTTTATTCAGGTTTATGAATTTGACTTCATCACACAAACTAATACCATGTTCGGACCGACAACGAAAACACTTTAAAAACGAGTTTTGGGATTGTGGACTGAAAGCTGTTCGCACCGCCTGTTAATGTTTTCGTTGACATTTCTTTCATCCTTTGTTTACAGTTTTGTTACGAAGAAACAAAACCAAAATCTTTTTCTTTAATTTTTTTATTACTAGCAACCTTTATCTTTTATTTATATTTTAATTTGGCCAGCCAATTAGCAATAAATCCCAACTAGCATATTAGAGATGACAAAGTATGACTTCCACTTCGATATATATATCTTAAAAACTAGTGAAGACACCGATTGGAATGAGTGGAACGTGAGTTTTCAAGTAGTTTTCAGTGAAAACTAGTTTTTGTTTGACAGATTTTACATGGACGAAAACACAAGTTTTAGGTCGAAAACCAGTTTCAGCATGTTTTCCATGGCAGTCCGAACATGGTATAAGTCACAAAATGAGTTCGCCTGGGCCACACTACGGAGGTGGCACTTCTATCGATTCATTTCTTGTTTTTGTTTTTAGACTACTGAAATTTGCAATACAAAATTCGAATAAACGTGGAAACGCGAGCACTTTTTTGTACGTATTTTACTGTCAAATTTCGAAAACGATCGTTCGCTTTCTCCAGTAAACACCCAAAAATGTACTTTTCGAAAGGGTGTAAAGAGCGTGCCTGAGTGGCAATACAATATTTTTGGAAAAGGCTGTCAAATTCAGAAATTTCAGAAAGCAGTTTCATGAGCAGTCACAGTTTTTCGATTTTGATTTCCGAAATGTGAGAAAGGTCTTTCTGGCTATTCACACATCGAAATATAATTTTTCTTTCTCAATTTGACAGCGAATTGTGTGGAAAAGTTGGAAATATTGCCACGTCTGACACGCTCTAACAAACAACGCAAATCGCTTTTGAAAAATAATTTCAACTAGCTCATGCTGCACTAGCAATTTCAATTTTACTTGCTGTTGTGCAGTCCAAACCAATTGAGTGTAGCCATGTGACCTGACTATTGGTTAAATTAGGTAATACTATTAAAATGGGTAATATAAATACATGTAATTTACTGTTCTGAAATGGCAATAGTGGGTATTCACTTATATTAGTTGTGTCTAATGAGAACGAAAAAAGTGCAGATCAGCTCAAGTTATAACAGAATAGAGCAGCTGACAAAAAAACAAAAGAGCAAGTTCGAGCAACTCGGATCAGAAATCTTATGAAACACTTTTCAGCCAGAAATCCTCAAAACGGTTGATTGTTCCACAGTTCAATTCGTCAATTGTAAAGTTTATTTTGATTTATTTACTAGCAAATGCCTGGCTTGCTTCGCGATAAGAACTTTTGCTTTGATCAATACAAAAATAGCGTTAAAATACAAAAACGTTTTGTAATGTAAAAACTACTAGTTTAGGTTGAAAGGACTGAAGAGCAGACCCTTCCTTAATCATAGGCCAAGAATAATAGCGCTAAGATAACATAAGGCATATGTACTAATCTCTTTCGATACTATCAGCTCTTATTTCCACCCATTATTGGCCCCTATTATGAGTTGTATTCGATCTTCGACTGTGGTCGAAAGTGCTGATCGAACGAATTTTCTTTGTAAGCTTTTGATCGAGTTTTTGTTATATGTTGGTATTGTTGTAGGCTGGTCGATCTACTTTTCCATGTGCAAGAAAAACACGTTTTTTCCACTTCTTTGCCCAACGTTTCGCTAACTACCCTAGCATCAGGAGCGATTATGTACACTTAGATCAAATTGGTTTCACATAAATGCACATACATATAAAAAACATTAGAACGTTAAATACATTGAAAAACATAAAAGTATTGCTACCATCCATCTGTGGTAATTTCGTCAAACTAACTCGAATTTTCATTTGGTATTCAGCCCTATCATAGAATCCATCGTAGAGAATCTACGAATTCGGATGTCCGCTACGAATACGAAAAAATTGCTATCATTGAATCCGAATGAACTCGAAAACAGTGCTGCCAAATTAAAATTTCGAAGTACGAAGTTTCGCAATCAGCTGGCTGAAACTAAACAAATAAATTTAATCGTGCAATGTTTTTAATTACACACATTTTTATAAAATTATCAATAAAAAATGGATTCACTGGCGAGTGCAATCATGCTGAGGGAAAATGCTGAGGGGATGCAGAGAAAAACTTTGAGGGACGCAAGTAATCCTCTCGAAATGCAAGAAGTAATGTAAGTGTAGTGTGTTCATGATTACTTTATTTCTAACTGCACTTTAATGAAGGTTCATAAAAAATGTTTGCTTAAACAAAGCTCAGTCCACATTTTGCTGCGTTTTAAAAGACGTATTGGCGTTGTTACAAATTCATATTTGCCCACATTGGATAAACCTTAACTTAAGTGATGACGAAAAACGGCAAGCAAAGATGGACTTTTACAAAAAAACAGGGTTTTCTTGAGTAGTTTTGTTTGTGGACGGGACTCATATTAAAATAATTTCTCCCACTGAAGACAAATTCCTGTAGAGGTATCGGGACGGTTCTGTGCCGCAGGAGCACGCCTTGGAAGTGAGGGAGAGGGAGCAGAGGCCATTGACACATCAGCAACAGCTTCAGCATTTTCTCCGCCCACTGGCTCAGGTAATCCAACGCTTACCGTGTTTTTTATGCCATGCGTGCTCGTCTCTAAAGCAGTGAGCCGGATTACCACTTCTTCCATTTGCTTAAAACTATGTTGCCTGTTTCGACCATCGCCAGTTGCCAACTGTTCTCTTTTGTTGTCCGCAAGTTTTCTTTTAATATATGCCTTCCAGTCTAACCATAACAGAAGAAAAGTATATTTAGTTAGCAAACAATGCATGCATTTTTTAACTTTTTCCAACTCGATACATCTTTAGTTGGCGGACCGAGACTATTTAGCTCCTTAGCCACATTCTCCTAAAATTCCATAACTTCTTTCGAAATCTTTGAAAATCCTTGTGCAATTTCAAGTCTCTGCTGCATTTGCTCAAGCAAAGCTGCGTATTACTGCCTGGTTGTTACCACCTTGGACCTTATAAAAACAAATAAAAACATATTTCCACACAATTTAATTAAATCTTTATCTTTATTAATTTAAAGTTTACATTTGTCAGTAATTTTAAAAATTTTAAAGAATTTTGCGCGCCTTTCGCTTCTTCTCCGACAGCAACAACTCTTCGTAGAAAAATTGTACGAAACTCTACGATTTGACGTTTCGAGTGGATTCTGTGAATGCAATCCTACGAATTTCGAATTTACGTCGTAGCAATTCGAATTGCGTGATAGCTATTTCGGAACATCTCCGAAAATACAGCCTACGATGGATTCTATGATAGGGCTGATTATGACTCTCATTCGATGAAGAATAGCGCTATTGTGAATTTCGCTCGTTAAGGTTGCTAATAGTGTGCTCCTGCTTTTCTTTTTTATTTAATAATTGATATTTTTTATACATATAACACCGCGCGATAGTAAATTTTAAACACAAATATCAATATATTCGCGAAACCATGGGCTAAATATAGTAAAATTGCGTTTTTAGTTTTGCATGTTTTTATGGGTATAAAATTAATGAAGAAAGCCTCCAGAATATAAAAATATTCAAGTTTCTGGTGTAGAAGGGCTGGTAAATATTGAAAATGTAATTTTAAAATTTTATCCTTGAAATTTCTCAATATTTGGTTTTACACGTTAAGGGCTTATATAAACTCGATAACATCCTCGAACTTCGTTCTTCTAACTTTGTCAGCTTAAAAAATTTAATTTTTTTAAATTCTAAACAAATTTCCTACTGCATTTTTTACATATATTTTTATTCTACATTGCATTGAATTTATTTAATAATTTTTAGAATTAATCAAATCTTACAAAGTCCTTCAAAATAAATCCTGCAGTGAGAGAAAAAAAAATAAAAACGACACTTTAAATAAAAAAGTAGGTTTTAAACCCATTTATTTATTATTTATTTCATGGTAGGAGAGCTTCTCAAACAACATAGAAGCAATTTTTTTTTATTCAAGTTGTTGAAAAGTAATAGATATCTAAATCCCGGGACAAATCCCGGGATTGTGACAACGCCATCCCGAAAATCCCGGAATCGAAAAAAGCCGAAAAATTAACATCCCTAGTGCTTATACATATGCCCTTATGTAAATTTGTGCAAATTAAAATGAAATAAAAAAGAAAGCGAGTTTATAAAAGCGTGGTGTTTAGTATAAGTAAAAATGTTCTTAGATTAGAGTTTTGTCTCTTACCAAAACTGGATCGCGAGTGAGTAAATTTATTTCAATAGCAATAAGTACATACTCATACATAGGATGAGGTGAAAATTACAGATAATGAAAACAAAGCTGCCAGATTACAAGAATATCAAAACAATTGCAAATTATAGACTACATTTCTTTATTCATTCTAAACGTTTGGAATAAACTTTTTTGTTTACTTATTCTTTAGAATGTTCCTGATGATATGTTAACGTATATTTCAAACGCATTCTGTTTATTCCGGCTGTGAAATGGGATTATCCGGAATGTATAAAGAAACGCAGCCATAAACTATATTATGACTCAACATTCTGCCCCCATTGCAAGGAACTTTCAATTATTGAATGGTAAGGGAGCCAAATTATGTATTGCTCGACGTTTTCACATCCGCTACGCGTACCTTTCCGCCAGCGCCAGGTACAATGTTGACTACACGGACTATTAACCACTTGTGCAGTGGCATATTATCTTCATGTATGATAACGAGTTGTCCAAGTTCATATTGCTATGCGGCGTTGGAACGTTGCTGTAATTCGTGAATGTCATCATGGTTGGAATGTTGAATACACGATGAATATATGAAGGACTCGTGTAAGCGAAGAATTTCGGTTCACAATATCCAAAACAATTTTAGATTGAATGCAACGAAGTGCTGGAATCCGTTTCCGTTGTTCTGCGATAGGCAATTCCACGTTGATGCTAAGCTGAGGCCACGTACTGATATCATCTGCTAAAAACTGTGGTCCACTGAACAAAAATGTGCTTGGTAGCTCGGAAGCACTGCAACCGCGAGATATGATGTCCGCTGGATTGCATTTCGATGGTACATGACGCCAGATGACTAGGTCAGAAACTGACTGGAATTTCAGATACCCTATTCGCTACAAAAGAGTTTATGGTTGTGGAATGCATATTTATCCAGCGTAAAACAGTCGTAGAATCGGTCCAAAAATACGTATTGCTAATATAAGGTTCCAACTTGACCGTAATTTTTCCAGGTTTGAACTAAAAGCAATGCCGCTCACAGTTCCAGTCTTGGCAATCATAGCCCTTTCACTGGTGCAACCTTTGACTTTGCGACAAATAAACGCGACTTACATTACAAATGTTGCGGATATAAATGCAGCATCCATAAGCACGCTCGGATGCATCCGCAAACCCATGTACCTCTGCTTTGTGTGCTAATGAAGTCAGTACATACCTCCGAGTAGTGATTGAATTGATATTCGCCAAGTCTTTTCGAATGTCTGTCCAGGTGCCTTGTAGTGGTTTTAGAAGTTCATCAACCCATGCTAATCCGTGTATCCATACAGACTGCAGTAGCATTTTGCATCGTATGACAACGCGGCTTAACAATCCAAGTAAGTCGAATATTTTCGCGGTTGTAGATATAACTGATCGCTTGGTTATAAGTTCTGAAGGCTTATCCTCATATTGGAAGCAAAACGTGTCAGTAATTGGTTTCTAAAGCATGCCTAGTGCACTTGATACATCACTTCCCAGTTGAATGTTCACATCATTGGAGCACTCAAAGATATCGGTGCAATTGCTGTTCCACTTTGAAAGTTTAAGTTTGGCCTTTTTGAAATATCTGAGTGAGTTCAAGTTTTCGCTTACGAAGGTCGTCTAAACTCACTCACGGCGCAGATGTGAGCACATCATCTACGTAGAAATCCGATTCCAAAATTTCAGCTCCAATCGGGAAACTGTCGTGATAATGCTCTGCAATAGAAACCAAGCTTCGAATTGCCAAGAAAGGCGCAGATGTGGTACCGTAGGTGAACGTATTTAATTCATAATACTCTAATGGTTCCCTTGGATCGGATCTCCAGACGATGAGTTGAAATTTTCTGTCTTCAGGTTCTATCCAAAACTGACGATACATTTTACAGATATCAGCTGTTAACGCGTACTTATGTAACCGAAAAGGAAGCAATGTAGTTATGAGATCTTGCTGAATCGTCGGACAGACCATAAGAATTTCGTTTAGAGCGTAATTAGATGATGTTTTGTGAGATGCGTCAAAAACGACACGTAACTTCGTACTTTACTGCTTCGTCGCAAAACCACTTGGTGTGGTATAAAATAGTGGCTTTTCTCCATTATTCCATCGTAAATAGGAGACATACATATGTCCAAGTTAATAATAGTAATTTCTTTAGCATGGGATCTTTTTCAAAGCGACGTTGCAATGCTAAAAAGCGTCTACATGCGTTCTGAAACGAATCGCCAAGTAAAAGTTCAGATTGAGCTATTGGTAGACACACCTGAACACGTCCGAGTTACATTTTGCGAGGCAGCAACGGCTTGGAGGCATTGAGTGGCCAGCAGCAGCTTTTCCACCCACAATCCATCTGAGCGATATATTAACCAGAAAGCATCCCGAGAGCGATTTTGCCGTCCCTTAAAAGGTCGAAGAAGATATCTAACTTCAAGTTTTTGGTATCCACGTACTGACTGGGTTGTCTAGACGATATGGTCTTGGACACAGTGAACTTTGTAGTCCACTCGAGCTGAGAAACGTGCGATTTGATGGTTTCTTGTACCTGGAAATTAAAGTTAGTGTTTTCGCCAGCTATGCCGGTAACTTTCTGCTTGATTCGCAATTGTTTGAGTTTTAAACGTTTCGCAGTTGCATCCGTAATAAAATTTAGTTCCGAGCCGGAATCTAGAAGCGCTCGAACTGGCTGCTAGGTACCACAAATATCTTTTATATAAACTATAGGAATAATTATGCAACGAGTTGTGAACGCTAACAACGACGTGTGGCTCTGGCTATTCCGACTGGGAGTTGACCCTGCTCGCTGCATTGACGATGAGACGGAGATCGAAATGGCGCTTCCCCTAGAGAGGGCTGCCGGTGTAGCATAGTGTGATGTTGTGCACCGCATACGCGAAAACGTGATTGTGATGAGTAATTAGCCATACCGAGGCCCTTTGATAAAAAATTTATGCATAATGATGCTTGTTTTACGAAGTCAAACCGCTGTGTCACAGACACGGTAGAAAATTTGTTACACCGATGGACGGCATGCTCAGTTGCTTGACAACACGCTCATTTTGACTTTACATTAACAAACGTTTTGGATGGTTTGGAACTGTTGTTGTTTCGTGTTTGATGGTTAGTTTCGACAATATTCGATTGTTTAGTCCAGGTTTCGAGTAACTGGCAGCGATGACTTAGAAGAGTGTAGGAATTCTCAAATGATGGGAGCTCAGCGTCTAGCTTAGTGAGAATTATGTTAATTAATAGTGCGTCCATGATATTTTTCTCAGAGCCTAATGAGAGTAAGGCTCCCTTGATTGAAGTGACATTATCGTTTAGCCCGGGCAATGTGACGTGATCACTTTTATTCATATTTGGCAAGTGATTTTATATGCGCAATGAATATAAGCGTTTTGTTATCGAAGCGTTTCTTTAATAGCTGAAGTGCACGTTGATAATTACTTTCCGTAGATTCAATTGGCTTGACCACAGCTCGCGCAGGTGCCGACAAACAGTCCATCAAGTAATTGAATTTATCAATTGTGGTCAACGAAGCGTCGTCATGCACAGCCAATTCGAAGGTGTGCATATAACGTGAATATTCTGTGTACTTGCCGTCCAATTTCGGCAAACATAGTTTGGGCAATCGATGTTTTGTGAGCTGCTGAGTGGTTGGAATTTGGAAGTAGCTTACGTGCGGCATGCTTGATCGACGTGCTTTCTGCAGAAACCCCGCTAATTTAGATTGAGTTGAAATGAACACCTCTTCTAAGTCTCCACGACCATTGTCTGTAGCGCAAATCTTTTCGATGAGTGTCTGAATGTGGCACACTTGTTTGAAATACGATTCCAAGATTTGTAGTTGACACTCCAATATTGTTAGGTCAGAAGGAGCACTTTCTTTTTCAATTTTTGACCTCAAATTAGTCATGTACAGTCGACATGGTGAAACCCAAAAATTTTATTTTAATTTAAATTTTTATTTTTTTTTTAGTTGATGAAATGTGACTAGATTCAATCACCGAAATTTAGCAGAAGCACGCAAAAAGGTTTACGGGAAAATCACAGCAAGTGGCGTGATCACAGCAACGAGGTGTACCAGTATAGTATGTACCTTTAAACAATTGTACATATGTAACATGTGCCGATGCTATTGTCCATATGTACTATGTATTGGATAAACCGTATTTTTGTGCAAAAACAATCAGGTCACCTTTTGCTTGTTGTGCGATTATTTTGTTTAACGCAAAATGAGGGTATGCATGTACAACGATATGTATTGACTTCGCGATGCCAGTATACAAATAACCCAAACTTTGTTTTTGGGTCCTGCAACGGTCGCCTAAATGTTTAGTAGAAGTAAAAATGTTCTTAGATTAGAGTTCTGTCTCTTACCAAAGTTGGATCGCGAGTGAGTAAATTTATTTCAATAGCAATAAGTACATTGGTGAGGTGTAAATTACAGATAATGAAAACGAAGCTGCCAGATTACAAAAATATCAAAACAATTGCAAATTATAAACTATATTATCACCCCTATTGCGAGTGTCGACTGGCAGTAGATAAACGACTATTAAGCGATTATCGATGCTAGAGCTGCAAAACTATCGATATATCGAATGGTGGTTATTTTTTGCTACTATCGATGTTTTATTTTCACTACCGATGGTATCGAACAGAATTTTATCTCTGTCCCATCACTACTTCTGACAAAGGACGCGCTAATCGGTGGAAAATTTGGGTAAGCGAAATGAAAAATCCGATATTAAGTGGCAGTTTATTTATAATTTAATTGTTTTTAGACACATTGCAATTAGTGTTGGCGGTTCTATGGATAATTACCTGAGAATTTCCAATAACAAAGGTAAATAAATTATAGCATCCGCTGTATCATGTATGTATGCGGATAGTCCCAGCCCTACCGCCCAATTCTGTGTTTTCTTGATAATTTTTTTTTAAAGAAATTTTATCAAGATTTTTATCAAGTAAAAGCTTCCTTCGCATTCTGTGCCAATATTTATAAAACAAAAAGCTCTACGATTTCCACATTATTGGAATTGATTTCCACATGAGTGGAACTGATTTCATTGTCACATATGAAAAATATGAAGTTAAAAGCAAATAAGCTTTTGACTGCCGTAGCCGAGTAGGTAGAAATGTCGACTATAATTCCGTGTGTCGCAGGTTCAAATGTCGGCACATGGAGTATTTAATGGTTAGAAACAAATTTATTAATATACAAAATTTATACATTTCACATGAAATTTCAATTTGTCAATAGCATTTTCAATCTTGATAATTTATCAAGAAAAGAGCTTTTGATTTCTGTGCTAGAATACCAATTCTTGATAAATAATAAAAAATGGACAAATTATAAAGATTTTCAATTTATCAAGTGCACTGAATCGGGCTGCTAGTATGTATACTTATATGTACGTGTGTACAATGTAAGTGTTTGTGTATGATTTTAGATGCCAGAATGTTCTGGACATCAGCAGTGACCCGGAAGAGGGAAGTCCCTGTACGAACAGTTCAAGAGTTGGAAAATCGAAGGTATGGAGATATTTTGAAAAAGCAAAACGAGGTAAAACTGCCGCTATTGTGACAAAATTTACAAGACGAGTGGCAATACGTCTAACATGTTTGACCATCTAAAGCGATCGCACCCTTCATTAAAAGAATTGTCAAAGCCATCGGGAACAATAACTTCCTAATTGGATAAATCGAAGGTGTATGAAGTATCATCACAACGAAAAAAGACCTTGACAGTGCTTTGGTGAAATTTATTGCGTCAGATGTGCGACTATTTGCAATAGTAGAAGACAAAGGATTTCGCGAATTTGTGAAGGAACTCAATCCTCGTTACGAATTACCATCTCGAACGACCCTTCAAAATGTGTTTATGGCGAACATTTTGAACAAGATAACGGCAATCGTCACCGACCATGCTAAGTCAATGCTGAAAGCGTGCGAACTGTTACAAAAACGGAACCTTCCATGTTTTGCTCACTCGCTAAATTTAGTTGTGCAAGAAAGTTTAATGCTAGACAACATTCAACTCATTCTATTGAAATGCAAACGCATTGTGTCGTATTTCAAAAGCAGCACAATGGCGTACGCCAAGTTTAATATGGAATTTACATGATTCAACTTTCACAGGCGATTAGTTGAACCAAAAGTTGAACGAAAGTAGGGAGCCGACCAACTTCATTGTAAGCGATTAGTTGAAAGGCTGTTTACACCAGGCGATTGTTGCTTTCAACTAAAAATCGCCTGAAAAATCGCCTCATGTAAATTCCCTATAAAGCAGCACAAGAAACAGAGAAGAAATATAGCTTAAAACAGGAAGTGGCGACACGATGGAACAGCGCATACCTGATGATTGGTCGTATTTTATTAACAAATGATGCAATTGTAAAAGTTCTGCTCAATATATCAAAAGCACTACAACCTTTGACAGCAGACGAAGTTGCGTTATTACAAGATTTGATGCAGTTACTTTCACCATTTGACAATGCCACTATGCAATCATCCTCTAGTTCCACAGTTACGATCTCCTTAGTCATACCGCTTGTGTGTGGTCTTTTGCATACTTTAGAGAACCTAAAAACGAATCTCAGAACTGCTGAAGGACTTGATGCGTGCATCTTTATGATTGAACGTGTTAAGAAAAGACTACTGATGTATGAAGAACGCACAGCCACACGATTAGGAACATTGATGGATCCCAGATTTAAGAAGCAGGGCTTCTTTTCTCCTTTTAATGCTAATGAGCCTGGAAAAATTCTAGAAAATGAGCTTGCAGCTGTAAGCAAGGTGCAGAGAACACAACTTTCTCCAGGCATTGGTGCCCCAGAACCGCCAACACTAATTGAAAAGCCTGGGCCGTCACAGCAAACGTTATTTGGATTCCTTGAAAGAAATATAGCGAGAATTTCGAGGACTAATCGGGTCGATGCGATTGTCACCTTACGGCAATATTTGGAGAATCCACATTCTCCTCAGGGCAGTGACCCCTTGGAATATTGGAAAGTAAAATTTTGTGTTAATATTATGAACCAAGAACTGTTCTCACTCAATATTTTATTATTTTCAGTGCCTTCCGAATGATTCTTTTACAAAAGCGTGCGCTGCTCGATTTCTTTGCGTTCCAGCCACATCCACAGAATCTGAAAGGATGTTCAGCAGAGCAGGCATCATAGCAAATCATAGCTTCTTTAAAGGCAAAGAATGTGGACATGCTTGTATTTCTTAACAAAAATTTTTGGATCTCTCAATTACATTAATACATTTTCTTAAACTAAATTTTTTTATATTACAAAGCTTTAAAAGCAAATCCAATTCGCCTTAAAAAGAGACTCAATATCCCTATGATCTCGCATTAATGTGTGTATATATATTTTTATACTTTAATTTATATGCAACTGTTTGTTCATTTTTTAATATACTTTTCTTTTATAAAAAGAAATGAATTGATACAAATTAATGTAATAAACAAAAATATCGTGTATTTCATATGTATGTTTATTAAAATATGTAGCTGTCAAAGACTTGTTTAAATAAATAAATGAAAACGACTGCCTGAGGGTTATAATCCCTAAGTGCGGCCGAAGGCCGCCTACGCACAAAGGGGTTCTCTGCAAAAGGTGTTCAGCCCCCTTTCTTTGGCAACACAAAAGAGAATTCTACGTAGTGAGGGTTATAATCCCTAAGTGCGGCCGAAGGTCGCCTACGCAGAAAGGTGTTCTCTGCAAAAGGTGTTCAGCCCCCTTTCTTTGGAAACACAGAAGAGAATTCTACGTAGTGAGGGTTATAATCCCTAAGTGCGGCCGAAGGCCGCCTACGCAAATAGAAGTTCTGCGCTAAAATACTATCATATTACTATTACTACAACATTTCTATCTGTCGCTTTTTTCTTAATTTCACAATATTTTTAGTTAATTTTTTTTTTAGTTTATTTTTTTTTCAAATCGCCTGATAACCAACTTGTGATAATTTCGTCTATTTAAAAATCCCACGGTTTTCGTTAGTTGGGTTATATTCCACTTCAAACTGCCAGTTTGCCTCGGAAAATGCCGTTTTTACCCCATTTTCAAACGGTTCCCTAGGGGTCTGTGGGAGGTCCCCAAGGGGGGGGTGGGGCTTTTCGTAAAGTGGCGACTGTCCCCTTTCCAATGAGGGGGGTTTGGGGGGCCACGCCCCCTCCCCCTCCGCCCCCACCCGAAAAACGATGGGCCAATAACTAAACATTTCCCGATAAAAGTTAAGTCAATTAAACTGGAAGTTGTAAAAAATTGTGAAATATACTTATGTATGTATGTGTCTGAATCACAGATCAAAAATTGTAAGCAACAAAAGGCAACTTGCGCGGTTGGTCGAGCTGATGCAAGAGAATGAGGACATAGGCAAAGGAATTTTCGGAAAGAATAGGGGCCGAAGCCCTATTGTGAAAGATATGCAATATATCTTGTGCATATAACTCCGGCTACGTCATCCACAGTGTTTTTGCGCAGAACCAGCATCAAAGTTTACAAGCAACTGCATAATTTATTAATTAACTAGTGCTCGGAAATTTGAAATCTCTTTTTTAAATTAAAGTTTAATTCTTTCACTACACTTGTATGTTAAAGTTTTTAATCTCGGGTCATGCGTTTGGACACAAATACCCAACATCATTGAACAAATAGCTAAACCGTACCATATTTCTTAAACTTCCATAAAGTTTATTAATGAGGAAAACAGCTTTTTCTGCAAATCCTGTAAAACCGACAAACCGTGAAGCATCTGGAACGCAACTTCTATTCATAAAATTCACATATATACATACACTTCATCTTCCAACTCCAAGGGATCCGACGAATCTCGCAATTCCCTCCT